AAAGTTGGCTTAAAGCTCAACATTCAGAAAACTAAGATCATGGCATCTGGTCCCATCACCTCGTGGCAAATAGGTGGGGAGACAGTGGAAACAGTGTCAGACTTTATTTTTCTGGGCTCCAAAATCACTGCAGATGGTGACTGCAGCCATGAAATTAAAAGATGCTTACTCCTTGGAAGGAAAGTCATGACCAACCTAGATAGCATATTAAAAAGCAGAGACATTACTTTGCCAACAAAGGTCCGTCTGGTCAAGGCTATGGTTTTTCCAGTGGTCATGTATGGATGTGAGAGGTGGACTGTGAAGAAAGCTGAGCGCCAAAGAATTGATGCTTTCAAACTGTGGTGTTGGAGAAGACTCTTGAGAGTCCCTTGGACTGCAAGGAGATCAACCAGTCCATCCTGAAGGAGATCAGTCCTGGGTGTTCATTGGAAGGACTGATGCTGACGCTGAAACTCCAATACTTTGGCCACCTCATGCGAAGAGTTGACTCATTGGAAAAGACCCTGATGCTGGGAGGGATTGAGGGCAGGAGGAGAAGGGGACGACAGAGGATGAGATGGCTGGATGGCCTCACCGACTCAATGGGCATGAGTTTGAGTAAACTCCGGGAGTTAGTGATGAACAGGGAGGCCTGGCGTGCTGCGATTCATGGGGTCGCAAAGAGTCGGACACGACTGAGCAACTGAACTGAACTGACTGATCGTTAGGTAGTTTGTATGTTCTGTGTTGTTGTTCAGTCACTTAGTCATGTCCAACTCTTTGTGACCCCATGGACTGAAGCACACCAGGCCTCCCTCTCCCTCACCATCTCCTGAAGTTTGCCCAAGTTCATGTTCCTTGCATCAGTGATGACATCCAGCCATCTCATCCTCTGATGCCCTCTTCTCCTTCTGCCATCAATCTTCCCCAGTATCAGGGTCTTTCCCAATGAGTCGGCTCTTCGCATCAGGTAGCCAAAATCCTGGAGCTTCAGCCTCAGCATCAGTCCTTCCAATGATTATTCAGGGCTGACTTTCCTTAAGATTGACTGGTTTGGTCTCCTTGCTGTCCAAGGGACTCTCAGAAGTCTTCTCCAGCACCACAGTTTGAAGGCATCAATTCTTTGGTGCTTTGCCTTCTTTATGGTCCAGCTCTCACAACTGTACATATGACCACTTGGAAGACCACAGCCTTGACTATATGGACCTTTGTCAGCAAAGTAATGTCTCTGCTTTTCAACACATTGTCTAGGTTTGTCATAGCTTTCCTTTGTTCTTAAAGGGTAGTCATTGGTTAATTTTTGACTAGAGTACCCAAGCACATAACAAATACTCTGTAAATGTCTGCTAAATAAATTAATGAAGAATATTCTGTAACCTGCAGTGTGAACTCAACTTGCAGTTTATCAGCAAATTTGGCAATTGACAGTTCTCCTTGGAGGACACCTGGATATTTTATATTATTTCTTTGGACTGTCTCTAGGATACCTTGGCAGACAGTTCAAAACAAGTGTCAGGGTAGAATATTAAAGTAATATACTACTTTAAATATCCTACAGTTCTATACTCAGATATTTCTAAATCCATTATAAAATTATTAATACATTTCATAGCTCTTTAGGATAACTCTACATTATCAATCCTAATCCTCCAAGGTTGGGAGAATCTTTAAATATTTTCAGTAGATTAATTTCTATTTCAAAACATAACACTGAGGAAAATATTTTTGTGGTCATGCTATTAATCTCTTGGTTAAATATCATTTACCATAAATCTTTATGTAAAATAGGTAAGTGCATTTCAACTTTTTATTTGGAGGGGGTCAAACTGAGATCTAAGCAATTAAGAACTTTTTACTTCAGAATCAGAATAAATTATGATTCCAGTTATTCTAATTCTAATTTGAAAATCCTAAAGCCAAGGAAAATTAAGTTGATAAACAGTGGGGCTAGTGGTAAAAAATCTGCCTGCCAATGCAAGAGATGTACTAGACCCAAGAGACGGAGGTTCAATCCCTGCGATGGGAAGATACCCTGGAGTAGGAAATGGCAACCCACTCCAGTATTCTTGCCTGGAAAATTCCAAGGACAGAAGAGCCGCCTGGTGGGCCACAGTCCATGGGATCGTAAAAGAGTTGGACACAACTTAGCAACCAAACAATTTACATACTATAAAATTAACTCATATTAAATTTTAAAAGTCTATTTACAGATTTGTGTCAGCATCACCTGAATCTAAATTTGTTTTATATTATGTTTGCAATATAATTTACAAAGTTGTGTAATCATCACCACTCTAACCCTGGAACATTTTCATCAACCCCAAAAGAAACATCATGACCTTTAGATCATCTAAACATCTCCATTTCTCTCCAGCCCCTCCAGCTCTTGGCAACCACTAATCTACTCTGTCTCTATGAATTTGTTCTTAACATTTAATATAAATGGAATCATACAATATGTGGTGTTTTCGTGACTAGCTCCTTTCACTTAACATGTTTTCAAGATTTATCCACATTGTCATATGTATTAGAACTTCATTCCTTGTTGTCAGCTAATAACATTTTGGGTGTGTGTGTGTACATGCTCAGTCACTTCAGTCACGTCCAACTGTTTGCAACCCTACGAACCGTAGCCCCCACCAGGTTCCTCTGTCCATGATTCTCTAGGCAAGAATAATGAAGTGGGTTGCCATTTCCTTCTCCAAGGGATTGTCCAGACCCAGGGATCAAAACTGTGTCTCCTGTATTGCAGGCAGATTTACTGTACAGGAGGATTTACTGGTTTATCCATTCATCAGTTGATGGATATTTCGGTTGTTTCCACTTTTTGGCTACTAGGAATAATGCTGCTATGAATGCTGGCATACAAGTCTTGGTGTAGATATATATCTTTATTTCTCTTGCGTAGATACCGAGGAATGGGATTACTAGGTCAGGTGCTAATTGCTTCATTTTTCCCTAACAGTCTTAAGAAGAGTAACAGAAAGGTTTTTTTCGTATTTCAAAGGATTTTTGACACAGCCAGGAAGCAGAATTTTCATGAAAATGCTAATATAATTTTTTTTTTTAAAAAGGATAATCTGCACACCACTTTGCTAGCAATAGAACTGTACCACATTATTTTCCAGTTTGAAGTTCAAACAGAAATTATAAGATGAGGTGAAAATTCCTTTTAATGTAAGTCATAAAATTAAATGGAGTCTGCTCTAATCTATGTAATCAATATGCGAGAATAAAATTCTGTTTTTTGAGCAGCATGTATGTATCCATTTCCTTCTGGCTGACAATTGCTTTAACAGATAAACACACAGTAAGAGAAGACTTACCCAGTAGTAGTAATAAATAGGAATTTAAAATCTCAAATGCCTTAATAAATTACTTATCTCCCTTCCCTGTCATGGGCCTGCTTCTCATTTCATGAGAAAGGGGTGAAACATTAATTATAATCAGTCGTGTAAATTCCCGAAGTCTTTCATAAAAGCATCTTTCAGAAAGCAGAGGCCAAATAACTTCTGGTCACATGTTATTTTTATTTTTCTACCTGGCGATGTACACTCTAGCTCAAATATATACAGGAAGCAGACTGTAAGCAAGAAATTAAGAGCTGATTGCAAAATGCTACGTAAAAATTAAAAGAGCTTTAAAAACACATTTTAATGTAAAGAAAAATCAAACATCTTGCGGCAGAAATTAGGCACAATCAGGGGAAAACTACCAAACGTTCTACCAATCACAGCACTAGAGAACGCCACAGGTCGTCCAAAAGACGCCTTCCTTTTAGCCAACAGCTCTTTTCCTCCCGCCAAAGCTGTCCCTAGAGCGTCAGAGAATAACTCAACGAGCGATTTATGATTTTTTCCTTTTGATCTCTCCCCCACACACATCCACCTGCTTGGAGGTGTCAAGGCGACTAGAAATGGTTAACACTGACCAGCAGCAGACAGAAACAAACACCCCTGACAACCCACAGCTGAGTAAGCAAGAGCTGTTTATTCACGACCATGTTCCATTTGGAGACTATCGGCGAGCCCTTGAAAGCCCAGGCACATTTTAGAAGGTTCCTAGAGAGGGAGGGAATAATCTCCCCCCGACACACACGCACACACACCCCACCCCTCTCCCCCCGCCCTGAGATACACCCTGAGAGGTTCGGGTGGGAACCATCTGGCCAAGGCAGCCCCTGCCCTACCGACCCCTCAGGAATAACCTCACGCACTAGAGCATCCGACCCCTTGCGGGGGTTGTGTAACTCCCCGAAATGGGCTCAGACGCTGCAGAGGCTGGCCCCAGTGCTGAGGGCTTCCGAAGACGCTTTCTGCCACCCCCACCCCCGCCACGGCCCACCCAGACGCCGCGGCCGGGACTGGAGACCCCGTCGAGAAATGGCCCTTTAGATCCCACCCCTCACCTGGCTCGGTCCCACCTGAGCACCAGAGCTGAGAGAAAACAGGCAGGGAGAGCTGACCTTGATGCTACTGACAGTGGAGCGGCACATCCTGCTGCTTCTTGGAAAGCGGCCCGCAGGACATTTTTCCCCCTGGAGGAAGGAAACGGGAGGGCGCCGGCCGGGCGGCGGCGGTGGTCCGGGCGGGCTGTGCAGCTTCTAGCGGGGACGGTCCGAGGACTACATCTCCCAGGCTGCTCTGGGCCTCCTTGCGTCGTGACCCCAGCGCGCACGGAGGCGGTGACTCTTACCTCACAGAGGTAGCTCCTCCGCCGGCAGCAACTCGGCGCCCGCGGTCCATGGACCGGAACCCCGGGCCGACGGGCAGGAACCCCGGCCGCGATCGCCGTCTCCCCGCCCTAGGCTCCTCCTCCTCGCTCCCCACCGCCTCCTCCGGACGCCCGCGGGCCGCGCACCGCCACCGCCGGTCTCGCGGAGCCGCCCCGGGAGGCTGGGTGGCGGGTTCGCGGCTGCCGCCGGACTGAGGCCTACTCCTCCGCTTCTCAGTGCTATTGTCCTGGGCCCGGCCCTGACCGGGCTCACCGGAGAGGCGAGTGCGCCGGCTCCGCCGAAGATGCCGGACCAAGCCCTACAGCAGATGCTGGACAGGTACGGGCAGCCTCTGGGGAGGACGCGAGCCGCTGACCCTCGTTCCAGCCCTGCCGCGCCCGGCCTCGGGGCTCTTCGGAGCGGAGCCCGGAGTGCCGGGAGTTCTACGGCCTGGGGGCCGGGCGAGGGGCCGAAAGTTTGGAGGCCGTACTTGCGGGAGGACGGAGCGGGCGGCCTGGGTGCGTAGACTTAAAGCGAAACTTAGTTAAGGAGTGGCCTCCAGTTTCGTCGGAACGCCTTTGCGAAGTGAGAGGGGCTTGTGTGAACCCAGAGAATTAGTTTCTTTTTCTCACTCTCCTCCTCCCCTCCCCCCCAAACTGTGTTGTAACGTGTTTGTCCGAGATGTCACTGGCAAGAAGAGCCAAACTAATTTTCTGGGGAATGATCCTCCTCCAATTTTAACACTCTTTCCAAAAGCCAAGGAAAAATAAGCATTCGTTTGGAAAACTTCATAGGCAAACTTCATTCTTCTTTCCTCCGTATCCCCAACCCCAAACTATAAGGTCAAGAGTATCTTCAAGGGACTTTAACGGTCAGACCAGAGTAGAGGTTATGGGAAACAGACATAAATCCAACCCTGAACATTTCTCGTATTTTACCATGCGTTGAGTTCCCTGAGAAAGTTTCATCTTGTCATGGAGCAAGTTCCTGGGGGGGCTCCGGTCGGTAAAACTTTCTGTGAAATCGGCTGCAGAGCCCTCTGCTGTTGAAATTCTAGTCTCTGGGTTCTACCACGAGTTTCTGGAGACCCTTACTCCACATTTTCCACTAAGGATATAACTTCCTGGCAACGCCAATACTATTGGCTAATGTATGTTTTCGTTGCCTACAACTCTCAATAGACCACTCGCCACCCAGTTCAGTGTGTGGTATAGCTCTGTACTGAGAACGAATCCAACTGGAAAGTGTTAAATGAAGAGCCTCCCTTAAATGAAATTATACCCAATAAAATTATGCTTGGATCACACCCAGAACACAAATCACTCAAAAGTACCGTCTTCTTCCAGAGTGACAGACATTTCCTTTGGAGCTTAGAATTTTGAGACGTCTAAGTTGATAGAAATCATGGTACTGACTTTTTTAAGTTGGGGTGACCCAGTAATTAATCCAGCCCTTGTTCTAGGAGAGCATTCAGGTCAAGTTGTATTGACTACTCCCTTTTTATATAAGTAGTTTACAAGCTCCTGGAAGGCAGAAACTTATGCGTCATTATTTCAAATTCTACAACCCCCTGTACAAAGCAAGTCATCAGTAAATACTTTTATGAGCAAATGCATGAACTTTTTTGTCATTCTCCCCAGTTGTGTAGTGGTCTAATAATTTACCATACTGGCAAATTATGTAGGACTACTGAAATATGCCCAGAGGAGACCATTTTCTGCCACTGCCAATTCCAATCAGAGACCCTATATTATTGCTGGGTATTTTGTAATTAATTTTTACCCCCTCTGAGGGCCTGCTGCTTTCACTTTTATGTAGTTGACTTTTGTGTCCAAAAACTGATCTGGCTTTCATACACTCTTTGGAAATTTGCATAAAAGTAAAAAACCCAAGGAGTGCCAGCAAGACATTTTACAATGTCTCAACAGAAACTTGAGACATATAAGTCTCTGGCTGCATATACTGAAACAGGTGACTATAATACTGGCTTCCCTCATCTTCTCTACCTTTTTGACATATCTCAAGGTAGATTCTTAAGATGATACTCAAAGATCATTTTGCAACCTGGCCCCGTGTTGGAATCACCTGAGGAGTATTTTAACATATGGATGGATACCTGACTCTGCCCATGACCAGTTAGTTCACAAATGTCTGGAGGGTAGGGCCTGAGCATGGGTATTTTCAAAAGCTTTCCAGATGTTTGTTGTGGTTGAAAATCATTTTTAAAGGGTTTTTTTTTTTTTGGCAGTGCCACACGTCTTGATGGATCTTAGTTCCCCAACTAGGGATTGACTCTGGGCCTCCTGCAGTGGAAGCAAGAGTCCTAACCACTGGACCACCAGGGAATTCCCACTGCCCTAAACCCTAAGTGATTAGTTCATGATAAGGGATAGTACTTTTTTAGAGAGGTAAGCTTGGACAGAAATCTTGAAATTCTCATTTTGCCACTTACTGGCTATATGACTTTGGATTTAAATTCTGAGGTTCTGCATCATCTTTAAAAAATGGTAATGTCCTACCTTACAGGACTGTATAAATAAGAACAAGTGTAAGTATTTTGTTGTTGTTCTTGTACAGTCTCTCTGTATAAGTACTTTATACAACAATAAATGCTATTTGTATGTTAGGCACACAGAAGGTACTTAAGATTCTAGTGTAACCGGGATTTCCCTCATGGTACAGTGATTGGGAGTTTGCCTTCCAGTGCAGGGGATGTAGGTTTGATCTGTTAGGGAAACTTAAGATCCCACATGCCGCGGGGCAACTAAGCCTGAGTGCATTGGGCTAAGACACATGGCGGCCAAATAAATAAATAATTTTTAAAAAAAGATTCTAATGTAACCAATCAATTAGCAATTTACACACATACACACACACCGTATTCCCCATCTCCTTTGTATTTACTATCATCTTAATCTGGGCTAGCCCCCCTGCAAGTTGAACACAAAGATACTTGATGGGTTCATTTGAAGAATACTGACAGGTTCAAGAGACTAAAATATGTCAACCTGTTAGGACCCAGAATTCTTGCTTGAATTTGCCTCCCCCCTAGCTTGGTCTTTGGGTGGCAATTTTTGAGCGACAGAATTTACTTCAGAAACTTGGCTTCATGTTTATTTCTTCAGTACAAGTGCTATCCTTGAGAAGATTAAGGAAATATATATAACATATTGTTTCAGTTCTAGGTTAAGATTAAGTATATTTTAATAGTTTATTAAGTTTATATTCATTGAATTGATTTAATAAATATTGATCCATTTGCCCAGTACCATTCTAAGCCCTCAGTATATGGTGGTAGTGAACATAAGCAGAAATACTCATGTGGAACTTTAATTCTAGTGAGGTTTGTGTTCCACAGATGTCAAATAAAATAAAGATTATATTTACAAACATGATGGTATGTTCAGTTTATACATTCAGTCTTTCACAATTTTTTAATTAATAGTAGCTTACTAAGAGCTGACGTTCAATTGCTTTTCCTTTGGGAATAAGTAAATCTAGTTTAGCAATTGTTTATCTTAAAATAAATTTTATTCTTGCCATATTTGCAGCTGGAAAGAGTCTATATAGATATATATTTTGATTGCCTTTCATTTTTATAAACAGTAAGCAGCTGTTTTATGTAAATTTATCATTTGAACCTTTTAAGTTGAGAGTGGTGGAAAGGGGGTGGTTTTCTAATGTCATGAATGATTGGGGGTCACAAATCATTGCCCTGAAATGATAACCATTCATAAATTTAAACCCTTTACATCAGACTCTCTGAATCTTATTTTTTCCTTTCCTTCATTGTCATACTTTTTTAAGAAGTCTGTTATGTCTACTCTGTCACCGTTATACTTTCTCATTTTCTCTTTTACTTCTCAAAATGAGGATTAAATGTATAGAGAATACAAAGAATACTATAAACAAACTGCAGAAATGGACCTCAGGTTTAAAGCCTGGTGAGAGATGCTTCTGGAAACTTGACTTTTGTATACCCCTTTCACATTGAACACTTAGGGATTTGTTGAGGTTGTTTTGCATCACTTAATCGCACATGGTGGGTAGGCAAGGAATGGAGTCATTGTCCCCAGAACAGTCAGATGGGAAGAACAATGACAGAATAATCTGCTCCCCACAGGCCTCCTGCAGTAGCAGGTGAGTTAGAATCCTCTCTCACAGGATGATACCAACCACATGGACATCCCTTTAGAGGTTGTAGATGTCCTCATAGGATTGAGCTGTATTACCTTCTGAGTTTTAAACTGTCTCTAGCTTCCACTAAAGCAGCTTCTCATTCTCTTTGGCATCTTTCCTCAATCATATTACAATCCCATTTTTACATTTACAGAACAATACCTGGAGTTAAGAACCATTAGCAATTAGTTGTATTTGCTTCCATCTCTATATAAAAAGCAGAAACATTACAGATAAAGTCCCCTTTGGCCATTATCCCCCAGTCCCATATCTTCTCCCATCCCCAGTCCACTATCATAAGTGGGTTTATGTTCTTCCAGTTTTTGTTTAAAGCTTTTATATATACTATATGTAATTCACAGTTCTGTTTTTGTTTCTAAAATTTAAATATATCAGTCTGCAATTTACTTTTTTAAATATTCTGTGATATTCAGCAATTAAAGGGTATACATATATAATCTATTGTGTTAACATACTACTCGTGATATGAGTATGGATACTCATAGTATGGATCATCGAAAAAGCAAGAGAGTTCCAGAAAAGCATCTATTTCTGCTTTATTGACTATGCCAAAGCCTTTGACTGTGTGGATCACAATAAACTGTGGAAAATTCTGAAGGAGATGGGAATACCAGACCACCTGACCAGTCTCTTGAGAAATCTGTATGCAGGTCAGGAAGCAACAGTTAGAACTGGACATGGAACAACAGACTGGTTCCAAACAGGGAAAGGCTGTTTATTGTCATCGTGCTTATTTAACTTATATGCAGAGTACATCATGAGAAATGCTGGGCTGGAGGAAGCACAAGCTGGATTCAAGATTGCTGGGAGAGCTTTCAATAACCTCAGATACACAGATGACACCACCATTATGGCAGAAGGTGAAGAAGAAATAAAGAGCCTCTTGATAAAAGTGAAAGAGGAGAGTGAAAAAGTTGGCTTAAAGATCAACATTCAGAAAACTAAGATCATGGCATCCGTTCCCATCACTTCCTGGCAAATATATAGGGAAACAGTGAGAGACTATTTTTTTGGGTTCCAAGATCACTGCAGATGGTGACTGCAGCCATGAAATAAAAAGACACTTATTCCTTGAAAGAAAATTTATGACCAACCTAGACAGCATATTAAAAAGCAGACATTACTTTGCCAACAAAGGT